CAGCTAGCTGCGTCTCCCCCAACCATTTTATGCTAAATTAAACTGAATATCCAGTGGTAGCTGCTGCTTACAGGGCCCAAATGTACCGTGCGCGTAACTTTCACCTCTTCAGTGGGAAACAAGTGCTGCAAGCCAAGTCTGAAAAATAAATTGCTCAATGCTGCCATCTCCAGGACAGTTCATAAGCGGTCCCAGTTCGTCTTTTCTACATACGTGAGAAAGGACCTGCTTGTAGGTTTTATCTTTTGGTTTGGTGGGGGTTTTTTGTTTGGCTTTGGGTGGGGTTTGAGGTTTTTTTTTCCTCCTAGCGCCATTTCTCTTGATAGGTGACTCTGGATATCCCGTACAGTGCAGCGGATCCTTAATCTGTCCTTTGCTGGCACTGCCCTGCCAGAGCAGGCTGTTGCCCAGCTGGTTAAAGGTGAAAAAGGCATGATAGCAATGCTCATACCTGCTCTTAGGGCTGAAATGAAATACAAAATTATACTTTTGTTTTGGATTTATGTAGGTCCAACCATAGAACAAATTAGATAGAGGCTTTTCTAATGCATCTGCATTACAGAGTTTGTCAGGGAGATCATGGATGTACAACTAACTGAGAAGTTAGCTGGTCAAAAGGCAAAAAATTCTCCTGAAAAGATTGCAGAAGAACACAGAGAACCCAGAGAAGACAACAAGCAGCACTGCAAGCCACCCTCTCATGTTATCCCATAGATAACACCATAAACCACAGCATTGTTTAAAGGTGTTTACCAAACACAGAATGACAACTTGTAATGTAGGAGCGGAGTTTAGCTGGTGAAACACAAGGAATGAGAAGGAAAAATAATACTGTTATGTGATAATGTTACATTATAACAATAACCTATATCCTCATCTTATTTTTTTCCTCCACACTGTAGTTTGTCATCACAAACCCAAATATTTGTATTGAAAATAAACGTTATACACACCTTGAGATAAAGCTTACTACAAAACAGGCCTATTTTCATCTTCAACAAGTAGAATGACAGAAATTGCTCCCCCAGCCCATTCCACAGAGCTGTGGGACAGAACTGCAGCCTCAGAGTATACTGAGATCAGCTACCATGGCTGTCGTTAATGACAAGGTATGTTTTGGGGGCAGAGGGCACCATCACTGGACACACGTGTTGCACCATATGTGCTGAAAACGCAGTGGGTCCTGTGGCAAGAGGATAGCTCCTACACCTCCTTCCACAAGCATGGGAATGCATGTTTGTGCACAGAATATGTAGCACTTTTTTTAATTAAACATTTTGCATAGAGTAGGTAAGTTATTAATATTAAGTAATAACTTGTATTTGCTCTGCCCCATTCTTTTCCTTGGCAGGCAATACGCTGATAGGCACATGTAAGTGGAATGATCTCTTGATGGAGGATAATAACCACCTGATTTGCATTGTGCTGCACAAGGGAACATGGATTTGAGGGTAAAAGCAGGAGATAATCCTAGAATCATAGGATATCTCAAGTTGGAAGAGACTCATAAGGATCACAGGACTACCTAAAACTAAACCATATGACTAAGGGCATTGTCCAGACACTCCTTGAACTCTGACTGTGCTTGGTGCCATGACCACTTCCCTGGGGACCCTGTTCCAGTGACCAAACACCCTCTCAGTGAAGACCATTTTCCTCATGTCCAGTCTGAACTTCCCCTGACACAGCTTCATTCCGTTCATACCATGTCTTGTCCACAGTATGTGGGCAGACAGTGTATTTAAGTGTGCTCCATTCATCTTGGGAACATTCTCTTCAAAAATAACTGATTTTGCAGATACAATGAAATTTGGTTGTTCTTATCTGGTTTTCAAGGGGATTCAGTAAACATCCCAGAAGGCTTTTCAAACTTTATATGCAGATTCACATCCTTTGTCCAGCAGAAATAACAGGCAACAACTAATACTCCAGCATATTTTGAAAACTATTTTTTTAGAGATAGTTTGCATCATACCAGACCACATCTCAGAATTGTTTTCTTGCTCTTTGAGTTCCAAAGCTCTGAAGTACTCTACTTCTCTGTATGGTATATAAGTGTGCACACCATAAATACTCCCTCTGCTTTGACAGTGAGCTAGTGAGAATTCAGGCTGCACAATTAACTGCAAAGGGGTTCACATACTAGAATATCCTGGCAGAAAATCAAGACATTTAATTCCTTGTATAAAAACCCATGTCTATCACACTACATCGCTGTCTCTCTGTACAAGAACTTCAGCTTCAATAAACATGAACGAAATGGAGGTTGCCATTTTAGTATCCATGTCCAAACCCTAAACTCTGTACAACCAAGTTACTGCAGTACCCTTCATCCCCATGTTCAGATCACATACCTCAGGAAATATTGCAACTAACCATTCTTTTGGAGACGGTATAATTATTCCATGTAGAGAAGGGAAAGGAGTACAACAGAACAGGTAAGGATCAAAGTTCCCATTTTTTTTTACCTGCTTTAGTTGGTTGAAGATGAATTTAGCATAGGATAACCCCATGAGGCATAGTGCTTGAGAAAATTAGTTCATATTGTGTCACTACTGAACCTGGCAGAGCAGATAGGTAAGGACCATGAGATAATCAAAATTTCTGTTTTGGTGACGCTGCATTGGTGGAATGGCATCTCAGGACGGCCACTGTGAGCATCCAAAAGTAATTAAAGATGTAATGCTGCTCTAAATTACCACAAAGACTAGTTTCTTTTGAAGCCACCTTTACCTGTTTACATACAGACTATCAGCTAGCTGCAAAAAAGAGGGTTTGGATAAATTATATTTCTAGCTCCTTGTGCTTTTGGGTTTTTGGGGGTTTTTTTTGTTTGTCTGGGTTTTGGTTTTGGGGAGTTTTTTTACATTTGAACAAAAAATGGAGTGAAAGTAGGAGTTAAGCCTAAACATGCACCCTTAATGCAGGAAGAAAAAAAGCCTCCACTTTTTTCATTTATCTTTTCAGGTGACTGTCATAGGCTGTTGGTCTTTTTTTTTTTCCCCTCTGCTGTCACCTGCTTTTATTGCTCTTTTTTTCCAACCTTTCTCTCCTCTGACATATCTCTATGCACCTTGCTCACTTTTATATGTACCTGACTATTCTGTTAGAAGGGTGTTAGTCTTCTTATTTTTTTCTTCCAGACTTTTAGGGTCCACTGAAAGTCTCATTCACAAGGATAAAAACCAAAAGAAACACTCCCCAAAGGTGCAGTTATGTCACCATAAGCCTGTAGGAAAAGCACATGAATGTTGTTCATGAGCTTCATCAATTCACCTTCCAGACTCAACTGACCGCCAAGTTGCTTACTCAAACTCCCACTCCCAGCTGCTCCTAAAACACTTGATCTCATCTTCCACAACCAAATCTTGAGTTAAAAGAGTTGTAAAAAAACCCTCTAGTTCTGGGCAGCATCTCATGAAAAAATAAGAGGTCAGGAAATCAAAACTTTCTGAATATTATTTTCTTCCGTTTCCTTCTGAGTTTGAATCAAGTTGTCCAGGAGCAGGAAGAATGAGTTGCTCTGCAAGGGAAGGGGAGCTGGGTGCCAAGGGGCAGTGACGTCCCCATAGCAGCCCACTCCTATTGCACCCAAACAAGGTGAGCAGGGCAAGCCAATGAGAGAAACCAGAATCAGAGAATAGATGAAGTTGGGAGGGACCTCTGAATATTGTCTAGTCCACCTCCTGCCCCCATTTTAAGCAGGGTAAAGTGCAGCAAATTGCTCAGGTTCTTGTCCAGTTAGGTTTTTAATGTCTCCACAG